ATGTGTATAAACTAAAATTGAAAAGTCAATGAAGTAGTCACAGGTTGTGGTTAAAAACTTGCATTTTCTAACATATTGGTCACTCAAAAACATGTCAATTAAACCCACAATGATGTAAATTGTTGTTAATGCTATGTTGTGGCTTTTCATTGGATGGAATAATACTCTGTCAACTCTGCTTTCAGACCAGACATGGTCACCCCAAGAATCTGTTGAATCTCTCTGGACAATAAGAGGCTGGACTCTATGCATGGTACATGCTTGCAAAGAAAGAATCATGACTTGATTTGAACTGTAACACTGAAGCTAGGTCAGAAATCCACCATGAGGGGAGGACATGTGGAGGAGTTGGGGGAATCCCAGAGCCTTTGAAACTGTGTCATAAAATGATATAATAATAATAATAATAATAATAATAAAAATAAAGAAACACTGCCTGCCACAGAGCATATTGTAGGTAGTTAATAACAACTGTTGACAAAATGGCTGAATTCTTTGTCATGTCCACCAGGCTATAAGCTGTGTAGGAACTGGATCAAGTCCTGTTATACTCGTTTTGTATCTCTATATTCACTGAGGAGGTACTTAATAAGTATGTGTTGATAAAAATGAAAGAAAAACAGTAGCTCCAGAGTTACAAAGCCAGGAACACTATGAAAACCTTACACGGCCAGAGCCTTCTGACCAGATAGTAGTTAAGTCTAACATCATCCTTCATCCCTAGGTCTGTGTGGCTCAATGTAGTCCCCTGAGGAACCCAGGCGAACATGGGAATAATGCACATTTCCTGTGTTTGCCTCACCTAGAAGTACATTCAGGATTGTTAAGAAGATGACTCAGATCTCAGGGCTTATTTTTCCCTCTGTGCACATATGCAAATGATTAGCCCCCAAGATGTTCTATTTTGCATTTTTGAGAGTTGTCAGGCAGTGACTTGTTTGTGTCAGGCTAGCTGTGCTAATGCTTCTGCTGCCCTTGTGCACCATCTTCTGCTCCAAATCTCATCACTGCTCTCCTAGTGTCCCACAAACATCTTTAGCAAGCCCTGCTGCTTGCTATTCAGACACCAGTGACCACAAAGGACTCTGCTGTGCTCCATACATTTCCTAAATGCTCACAACAACAAAGTGCAATCCGTGGCAAAGCTGAGGTTACCTCTTTCCCTTGGAACCTTGCAGTATGAAAGGTGAAAAACAGCACAGTATTTGTGCATACCTCTGACATGGTATCATCTACAGTGTTTGTAGACACTCTCAGTTTTCACTTATGTCCCTCACTTTGCCTAGCACACAGATGTGAATCTAGGGTACTGGCTTAGGAGCAGATTGGAGTGAGATCCACAAAGTTAGAATCAGAATCTTGTTTTTCTGTCAGATGATGAAGGGTGTGTTATTGGAGAGCTCAGTGTGCCTCCCTCCTCTTACCCTGCGAATGCATTCTCTCTGATGAGACTGCAGAGACCCCCTTCAATCCGACTGTCAGAGTGTATCTCAGGGTACCCACAATGATTTGTAGCCTGAGCAGGAGACAAAACTCAATCTTTTTCCCACAGGTTCTTCAGGCCCCATGGAGAGAGGCTGGTTTCTCTAATTCTTCAGGCAAGTTCAGACAGGCATGAGCCTGCAGAACCACAGCCAAAATTTAAGCTGAACTCTGCTCTCTTGACACATGAGAAAATCTTCAAATGAACTCAGCAGTGACAAGCATTCAAATGATACAAATCCACTTCTCACCCTTGGCATAGGCAGCCAGAAGTGACAGAGGCCAAGCACCCTGGAGGTTATTCTGCCAAGAGCAGAAGAGCTTGAACTTCCAGCATTTCTGCTGAGATTCTTCTCTGGTGTGTCTCAGATTGGGAACACAGATTACTTATTCATATACTAGTACATAAACAAGAAGATCTATTTTTCATTGAAATAATTCCTATATTTGGATGTTGAAATTACATTGCTTTCTCTCAATGAAGTTTAAATTATAAACTTCATTACTCATTACAAGGAAAGGAAGCGAAGGCCGTTGTTGTACTTTTGAGCCTACCTGTTCTAAGACCATTAGCACAGCAACAATTTCTTCTTCAGCCAAGAATTAATTCCCTCTAATCTATTTTTCATTTTACAAACTAGTGTGTAAAAGCTATAAAACAGAAACAAAAGAATCTCAGCTCACACACCAATAAGTGCAAGAACCATCCTAAGTATTCATAATCTGCAATCACTTGAAATTCAACTTTATCCCCATGCTTACAGGCTGGTGGGAAATTCAGCCCCATCTACTGAAGGCTCTGCCTTGCATCTTGCATTCACTAAGACTTAGGAGGGGCTCAAGCATCAATCACTCTGCACACTGGCTTCTGATGAAGTACTAGGTCATGTCCAGGGCCTCCAGAAATATGGCTCACATTCAGCACACCAGAGAGAATCACTGGTAAGGCTGATAGAATATCTGTGCCGAAGATAGTCTTGCAAGTGCTCCTGCAAAGAACTCAGCTCCTCTAGAGGATGTGCCCCCTCTTGCATCTGGGACAAAGAAATAGTAAGGGACTGCTACTTGTTTGTAACTGATTCTCCAAATGTGATCCGCACTAATCCTAGACTATAAATGACAATAGAAACACGTGCAATTTATTTTCTTAGCATAGATCTGTGACAATCAATTTAAAATGATACTAGATTTCCCATCTTTGTTTATACAATACCATGATACAATTAAATAGCAGAATGTTAGACTTGCAAGTATTATTAAAGGACTATATTACAATGACAATATGAGGGAAATGGTGGAAGGTGGAAAAGGAAAATGAGAAGGAAGGAAGAGGAGGGAAAGGGAGAAATCTCTATACCTACAAAAGAAGAAAAAAATGTCAATTTAAGAAACAGTGTTCTGAAGTAACTTTGCATGCAATGGTTAAAGCCTTTGCTGATATTTATTTTTCTTTAAAAGAAAAAGAAGCAAAGAAAATTATCTTTTCTTTATATTGTCTCAGAAGGGTCTGAATAAACTTGCTACTGAATGCATAAAGGTCCAGGCTAGTGTTCAGGTAACTATAGAAAAATAGATTTTTTTTTAAATATTTGGGGGCATAACATTTTCTTCTTACATGATTATATTATGTATAACAGGAACACTAACCTGTTACTTTCGTATTGTTCTCTTCACAGCTTCCTAACTCAGGATCTCCCTCACTCTGGTTATGCTCATGTGGTGAGGCATTCTTCTGGGGTGGAGGGATAGAAGTCACCCACGTACAGCTTCTTGCACAACACAGGTCCGATTAGAGTTCCGCTTGCGCCACAGACATCCCAAATGGTGAGTGAAGTCCCTGTCAGAGCTCACTCCCTGCTTTATCTGATGAAGCATGGCTGTACAGGGTGTGTCTAGCCACCCAACTGGTGCTTTCAGAACCCACAGGTATCTCTGGGATGATGAAGGGTGCTGAAAAGTTTCCTTACCACTGAAAACAATCCAGACAAAACTAAGAAGCTTCTTCCCCCCAATAACAAGACGCAGGATGGAGAGATAGAAGAAAAGCGAGCACTGGTAAAGTGGCAAAATTGATTTTGGTAACATAGACATCTTACAGAAAATAACCATATAATTTTCACAAATCAAGAGACAGGAGAAAGAGTAATTGAAATTCAAGGGGGAAAATATAGTGCATCTAATAGTGAGTAGAATGAACAAGGCTTAAAAATTTTTCTCTGAAACAGAGCTTCAATAATTTTTTTTGAGATTTTGCTTTATTTGAAAGTCAGAATTAGAGAGAGAGAGACAGAGATCTTCCATCCTCTGGATCACTCCCCATATGGTCTAAACTGCCAGAGCTGGGTTGGTCTGAAGCCAAGAGCCAAGTGCTTTCTCCTCGTCTTCCTCATGGATTCAGGGACCCAGGGCCTTGGATCATACTCTACTGCTTTCTCAGGGCATTTTCAGGGAGCTGGATTGAAAGTGGAGCAGCCAGAATAGGAACTGGTACCTACATGGGAAGCTTGTACTGCAGGCAAAAGGTTATTCTCCTAAACCACCACCACCATTTCCTTTAGTAAAGTTTTGATTCTTGGCAGTTTTGATTTAGAATTCTGAATTGCAGTCGTTTGGAAAAACACATATTACTGTATAGTAACATCAAACTATTCAATAAATAATCACAGTGATTTTAGAAATCAGTCCTGACTTCCAGCAGGAATTGTCACAGAGACTGAAAGTGACTTATATTTGTAACCAACTCAACAATTTTCAAAGTGCCATCCTTAAGTGGTTTCAGTTGATCTTCATATCACTTTATGAGATAGGCAGCCCAGTCATTTTTCTATCATTTTGTAGGTTGGAGATTAAACCAGTTTAGCAATTTGTCTTGGAGTTTATAGTGGGAGATGGCAAAACAAGGAGTAGTACACAGGGATTTTGCTTCTAATTTATTATTACGTCTAGCAGCATGATTACACATGGCTTTGAATTTTCTGTTACTGAAAACAGACATTAATTTCTAGAAGTGAATAAAGCTTATCTCTAGAGATGCATAATTCTCAGTACTTATCCATATTAGATGGATGTATTTTATGGCTGTTCTTTTCAAGTACTGTTAAAATAACGTGTGAAGGAATCTAATAAACAAATTTCCAACTTGCGTTTATGATCTCCAAGAGTCCTGCTCCTCAATCATAGCTTAATTGACAGATATACCTTTTGAAGAATATCCCTTCCACCTATTCCACCCTTTGTCCCAGTTTCTTCTATAATTTGGCAACATAGATACAGTATTGCATATGTTGCAGAAGCTTTGCGCTTACTTTAAGCCTGTATCAGCAGTTTTATTCAACAGGCTATGCCATTAATTCTGAAAGGCGCAGAAGCAGAGAGAAACATATTCAAGGACATTGTCACGTTCATTATCCCGTTTCCTACCTCCCTTTCTATCTGAAAGTAAGTATGAGTACACGACTAAGTATGAGTCAGGGAAGACACTGTAGTTTGGGTCACATAGAATTGAGAAGCCACACAAACACTGTCAACTCTTAGGAATCACCCAAAGCCTTGGACATTTAAGAAAATACCCTGTTTTGTTTAGGACTGTTTGCATGGAATATCCTGTCAGGTCAGAAAAAAGTCCAGGCCTAACATTTGTGAGCTCCAAGGCAGCAGTACAAATTGCGACCCACATACCTCTTGTCTGATACCACGCCGTGAGGCTAGCAAGCTGAAAAATATAATACATTCTCTCCCCCTAGTACAACAACAGTACAAACACAGAAATGCACACTTAAATCTCATGGTTTTGTTTTGTTTTTTTTTTTTTGTCATTATAAGACTTCTCAGCACACAGCAGATTCCAATGCTAATTCATCACTATTATCTTTCTTCTTCAGTGTTAGAGGAGGTACGTTAGTGCCTGCCGATTCACTGTTATGTGAGCCATCACAGAAGACGTCTTAGAACGCCCGGGTCTACATAATCTGTCTTAGTTAGGCACAGATATTCAATGTTTACTTCATTTCCAACTTTCTGGTTTTCCTTTTGTATTTTAAGAAGAATCAAAAGTGAATTAAAAAATAATAATAACTTCTGTTGCTTTTTTCCTTTGGGGAAAAATGATCAAACCTTGAGGTAGCCAAGTCGTGCAAGTACCCCAAGGAAAGGCAGCAATGCAGGCTATTCTGACACTGAGCTGATTGAACTCCATAGTGCTATCCAGGACTGGGAGCTACTTTGGGTCCACAGGGAGCTGCACCTTCACAGTACTGCCCACTTTCCAGCACTATCCTGACCTGCGGCATTGGCTCCTCTAATTCATATTTTCACATAATTTTGCTCCATTGATTACTGAACTAAAGGACTGAAAGAAATTACACTCAAGAAGGATTAAATTTAAATATATTTTCAGCCAAGCTTAAAATAAATATAAAATTGAAGTTATTTTACATGCTTTTCCTAGCAACAATGTTTCTTTTAAAATGTTCAAAATTATTTTTAAAGTCAAACTAATGCATATGAAAAGCTGTAGTGAATATTCACTAAATTTAAATTTTTAATTATTTTTCCAAATATAATTAAATGTTAATTTGAGTTTTCACAAGTATAAAACTATTTACAATTCTATCACTGAATGTCCATTTAGTACTAGTATAAAAGGTGGTAACACATTTAATAAGTCTACATCAGCATTGGCCAATGTTTATATATACATACAAGTCACACACACACACGGCAAGCCACATATATAATTTTCTTTCCAGGACAACATTTTTTCCAGGACAGGTGTTTAGCCTGGGAGTAGGGTACCAATTAAAATATCTGTGTCCCACACTGGAGTGAATGGATTTGATACTGGATCCAGCTTCTACTTCCATCTTCCTGCCACTACCACCCATGGGACGATAGTTCCTGGATTCTTGACACCCACATGGAAGACCTGGATGATATTTCCATTTCTCTGCTTTGGTGTAGCCCACTTCTGGCCATTGTGGGCTTCTGGGAGTAAACCAGTGTATGGGAGCATTCTCTGTCTCTCAAGGAAATATTTTGAGAATTCCTTATGCAAGTTTTGCACATTAAAAAAGTAAACATTCTAATATTATTAACATAATACAGTTAACCTAATTTGTTAAAATACTAATTAAAAAATGTATTAGATCCTTCCTGCTGCTATAACAGTCTAACTGAGACTGGATATTTTATACAGAAAAGTGGTTTATTTAGTTTATAGTTTCGGAGGCTGAAAGTCTACGGTCAGACCTTATGGGAGACAGCATCATGATAGCAGTGATTATGAGGGGGTGATATTGTCCAGTCAGACAGGAAACCAGTAGGAGGGAATGGGGAGATAGTGTTGCTCTTTTAGGAATAACACATTCTCACAGTAACTCACTCCATGAGACCGGCACTAATCCCTGCTGACAGCAATACCCCCAATGATCTAATCACCACCTACTAGGTCCACCTCTTAATGGATTTACCACATCCTAATATTGCCACACCTTTGCCAAGCTTCCAACCCATGAACCTTTGCAGGCAAACAACTGCTAAACTATAGCAACATGAAATCAATGAAGCCATTCACATTATTTTTTCATTCTAAGTCCTCAAAGACAACAATATGTATTTTATGCTTAGAACATCCCTCAGATTAGCTGCATTTCAGATGGCAAGGCTATCACACTGGACAGCAATGTGAGCTGCTAAATACATATTCATCCGTTGCAATGGCCAACTGCTGGAAACGATAGTAAGAGGAAGAATTTGACATGTTAATTAATTGATCTTTCATCTAAACACTTCTACCACTCTAATCCTCTGAGGCAGTGTCTGTGTGCAGTGTTGATGGTGGCACGAACCAAAAACCCTCGTTATGTAGAAGCCTTCTGTTTGAAAATGTAGGACAAGAGCTTTGGAGAAGCATTTTGTCGGGGCTTAAGAAGGGTTGGGCATGAGGTATATATTTAACAATTACAGGCTACCAGAGAATTGCGACACTGACCATCAGACAATGAGTAACAGAGTTGGCAGTGTGGTCATTGATGTGCTTTTTGATGTGTTTGAGAAAATCAAACAGGAGGTTGCACCTGCTTAGATATGAGGGAGGAACTAAATATAGAGGCTGTTCCAGAACCACCCAGACTTTGCAGGAGCCCATCAGAATAGGAAGTAATCAAGATAGGCCAGTTCTCTCTGGTCTATGCTAAATAAGGATATATGGGATGGACTACGAGTCCTCATGTAGCAATAGCATTCCAAGAATGAGGTGCAAGACCAAGCCAAGCATAAGAGAATGAGTTCATGCAAACTTTGGTGAACTGGAAATGCACACTTCATTAAGCACTGTTAGTCTTCTAATTTTCCCAGAGTACTAAAATACCAAGACACATGATGCAACTTATTCTAGAGATCATTGTTATTCTACATAAATCTGTCGGATCTAACAATCTAGTATTTCTTTCACTTGTTTGTCATCTGTGCAAAAAACTCTTCTTATGCAAATATTGTTCTTAGTATCACAGATATGAGCAGGATAAAATCTCTACCCTCAAATAACTCTTAAAGTTTTGTACAAATCAGTTCTCCTTAAGGTCTTTTCTTCTTTTTCCTAGCTATTTCCTAAAAAATGTGAACACTTAATGATGTTATTGTCTTTGATGCTGGTGAAGATTAAGGATCATTTGGGCTCCATTATCCATGTCAGCTTTTTCTTGGAAAGTGAACATTTCTGTAGATGTCTTTTAGTTTCTTTTCATGGCAGCTTAGTGTATAAATTGCATATCTCCTCTTACATGGTGTGAAGTATCTGATTATAAAGCTTGATACAGGAATAAGAGTTAAAAGATGACACATAAATATTCTAGGGAAAAGCCAATGAATTCTTTTATAATTCTGAGAGAAATAAATAGCATCTAATCAAATATTAGAGAATATAGCCAACATTATGTCTTTTTAGAACCCTAAAAATAATAAACAGTTCTATTTTGGTAGTCAACTATGTGTAGTGTTTGTTATTGGACAAGTTATTTCAACCTAAGTATACCAAGATGATTGTAACTTTTACCCATGGACAGAAATAGTTATTAATGGCTGTTTCTTTTTTATACATACACAAAGTAAATCTTAGAGCATACATAATAAATTCAATTACTAGCGAAGAGAGAGACACCACAATATATTTTTTAAAATCCTTTCCATTTCCAATAAACTTATTATTTCTTATTAAATTTGTGGCTAGTGAGTTATTTCAGTTTTATGTATACCATATCTTTAATGTACGTTAGTATTCACTATCTCATTTGACCCACACAAGAACTATATGAAATAGATTATATTCCATTATCAGATAAGGAGGTTGAACCATGAAGAAATGAGCGAGTTGTTTGTGCCCACACATAACAGGAGCTGAGATAAAAACAGCACTGAGGTCTTGTCTGCCTCCTGGTCCCAGATGCTTTCCAGTATTCCACAGTCTCTTCCAAGCTATTCTTCAAAAGTTCTATTATACCTTGTAGTCAAAAGGCTAAAAGAAAATCCTATCAATAAAATAAACCACATTCTAGCTAAGAGCTAACACAATGTGCTTAAATGTGTTGCTTGAGCAAATTGACCTTCAAGAGTGTATATGCCAAAATATTGAGAAAAAAAACCTTCCAATTATATCTGTATGAGAAATTGTGACATCACAGAAAACCCCTATTGGAAATCTATTGAAATTTTAAATAAATTCAATGTCTCCTGAATATAATCACAAGTTTCCATAAGAGATTGGATATTTCTCCAAGTAGTTAGTAAGACAGGCTTCAAAATTATTAAGGATCTTTACAGTTCAGAATTAAATTCTCCTTTTGTGAGATTTATTTTATTCTTATTTTAAAGGCCAAGTAACAAAGAGAAGGAGAGAGAGAGATTTTCCCATCTACTGATTCACTGCCCAAATAGCCCCAATGGCTGGAGTTGAGCTAATCTGAAGCCAGGAACCAGAAGCCTCCTATCGGTCTCCCACATGTATACAGGGGCCCAAGGACTTGAGCCATCATCTGCTGCTTTCCCTGTTCATAGGCAGGGAACTGAGTTCTAAGTGCAGCAGTGAAGACACGAACCAGTGTTCATATGGTGGAATGCCAGCTACACTTGTTGGGTGTCAGGGAGTGAGTTAGTGAGATTGACTGATTTTCCAAGGTCACATAATACGTGATAAGCCATGACCTGAGATGTCAGCCCTCCAGATTAAATTAATTATAAATTTTTTTTTTCAGTGGGAAATGAATAATATTCAGTCACATAATTAAATATCCCAGAGACATTCATGTGTAGCAGTGATTATCGATTCCATCTATTCAGTTCTCTGGTCAACATTTTACTTGAACATCTTACAAAAACTATGAATTTTGCATTAAAATTTTGCCCTTTACTGAGATGTGAAAATTCAAGATATGCAATACAGCATATGAAAATTAATCTGAAAATAAATTATGTGTAACAGACTTTTTGCCTGGGTATTCCCAATGAACATAAATCTTAGAATGATCTAAACTCGGTTGTCCCTAGATCTGCTCTTCTTTCATTGTTTCTGTGGTTTGAATTTTTATCTGCTCATGGCCCAGTGATGACATTGTGGACATAGATATTTGAGCTACTTGCTGAATCTTCCTCCTTTGCTCCCTCCTGCTCAATGGTTCTTCAAATGCTCCCTTTTAAACACTTCTCAAATCTTTCTTCTTTCTTGATCTCAGACACCACTGTTGAAACCCTAGCCATATCTTTCTAACACTATTGCAAAAGCTGTCTAATTTTTCTGGGAAGATGTTCTGGCCCCTCAAACATCACCTTTCAAACATCAAACCAAGAAAGTTGTACTTTAGTTACTCTTACGTTTGTAATCCTTTATGTTGATTGCAAACAGGAAAAAGCCAAGATGAGGTCCCTACCATCTGGTATTCTTGGTATTCAAGGTAATATTTCACTAACAGTCAACTGTTTATTACTCTTTATACACATATTTATATACGTATTTCCACTGTGAAAAGTTATCCCACCAACTGACATTCAGTGATGGTATACAACCTTCTGAGAAGTTCTCCATGAGCTTTCCTTCCCCACATGGGTTAGGTTGAAAGGGCTAACATCTGGACTCTTAACCACTCACTGAATCTGAAATTACTGTGTAGATGGCTGTGTTTGGCTTTCCCTCCAGATGGCAAGAATTGTTGAATCAAAATGCAGAACCTGACACACATAGCAAAGTTTTTGAATGCACCAGTGAATTAGCTAATACTTATTCCTCACATGCATTTTAGCTATTTTTTTATAGAAAGTTTTATATCCCCAAATTAGGAAGTATTTCAGTTTTTATTGTACCCACACCATATTTCAGTCCTTACACTATCAATGGAATTGCTATTGCTAACATATACCATTTTTGCTACATTTGTTGATTGTCAGAGGCTGGGTTAGTGAGATTAACTCATTTTCCAAGCTCACATAAAAGTGATGAGCCATGTATCATCATTCACTAAATCTTCATATACTCATATTTTTACTTATTTTTATTCCACTGTAGATCTTTAAGGATTGTGTCTGAAACAAAGCTGACTTTGAATAACATCAGCAATAGTAGCAACCAACCTTTACTGAGTACTCATACTGCTTTGTATGTCTGACTTCATATTAACTTCACACTGTTCTTTCAAGTCCTATTATTAAAACAACTTTACAGTAGGCCAGATAGCAATTATTTCATATGAATTCCTAGGATTAAAATCACTATACATGGTAATAACTTTTTATGTTCTATTAGTTATGATTTTAAAATTAATTTTAAGACACACTGTAAGAACATTTGTGAATTTAAATAGAGTTTGCAGAGATAACAGCGTTTTCAATATAGTTCACAGTCAGTTTCCCTTATTAACACCTTACATTAGTACAGCACTTCTAATGATTATTGCAATAACATTGAGTTTGTACATTATTCACATCTCTTTAATTTTTGCCTAATGCTCATTTTCTGTTCCAAAATCCCATCTAATACACTGCATTACTTTAATTCTCACATATCTCTATTATACTCTTGGCCAAAGCAGTTTAATATTCTCTTGGCTAAGACTTTTTTTTTTTTTTGCTTTTAATGTCCTTGTTTGATCTAGTTATATACCTAGTAGCTTCTTCAGTTGTAACTTATAACATGATTAGATTGTGGCTATGGATTTGGGAGAGAAAGATTACAAAGGGAAACTCATTTTTATTACATCAAACCAAGTGCACTCACTATGAGGATACTTGGAAAAGATAGTGGGAAATGGAATTAGAAAACTAGCTTAGGGCTCAGAAAAGTGGCCAGGCAAGTAAAACTGCAGCCTGCAATGCCAGTGTCCCACATGGGATCCCAGCTGTTCCACTTCTGATTCAGTTCCCTGTTAATGGCCTGGGAAAGCAAGAGAAGATGGCCTGAGCTCTTGGGTCTCTGCCACACATAGAAGAGACCCAAAGAAAGTTCTTTGCTATTGTGACTATTTGGGGAGTGAACCAATGGATAAGAGATCTGCTCCTCTCTCACTAAGACTCTGCCTTTCAAAAAAAAAATAATAAATCTTTAAGAAGACACCAAGTTTATTTTGGCGAAAGAACATTTGAATCTGATGTGTAATTTTTTCATAATATGCATTTCCATGAACTTTTAAAAGATTTTATCTATCAATATTTTTTACCTCTGTTGCCAGAAACCTTGACCATGCTTGTAAATTTCTGCATTGTAGTTGCTCTCCCCATTACCCCTGTCCCCGCCAGAATATTGGACTTTTTAGAAAGAAGTTACTACAGTGTCCACTTAAGGAATGGGCTGTTGGGCCAAGCACGCTAGCCTAGCGGTTAAAATACTCACCTTGTATGCACAGGACACCAGTTCTAATCCTGGAAGCTCCGTTGTGGCCTGAGAAAGCAGTCGAGGACAGACCAAAGCCTTGGGATCTTGCATCTGTGTTCTGACTCCTGCTTTGGATCGGTCAGGTCTGGCTATTGTGGTTACTTGGGGAATGAATCATCGGACAGAAGATCTTTCTCTCTGTCTCTTCAGCTCTCTGTATATCTGACTTTACAATAAAAATAAGTAAATTATTTTTAAAAGATTTATTTATTTATTGGAAAGTCGGATATACAGAGAGGAGGAGAGACAGAGAGAAAGATCTTTCATCCGATGATTCACTCCCCAAGTGAGCGCAACGGCCCATGCTATGCCGATCCGAAGCCAGAATCCAGGAACCTTTACTGGGTCTCCCACACAGGTGCAGGGTCCCAAGGCTTTGGGCCATCCTGGACTGCTTTCTCAGGCCACAAGCAGGGAGCTGGATGGGAAGTGGAGCTGCCAGGATTAGAACCAGCGCCCATATGGGATCCCAGGGTGCGTTCAAGGTGAGGACTTTAGCTGCTAGTCCTCCGGGCCAAGTAAATTTTTTTTTTTTAAAAAAAGGAGTGGGCTGTTGCATTTTTCCTCTTTATAGGTGGAGTATCTGGATTATCTACATAAATTATTTGGAAATCTTATCTTTCTTTCCCTATTCTATTGAAAAGTACACTAACTTACTTATGGGCTCATGGATATTTATTTTACATCAAAATTATTTATTTGTTGGAAGGCAGAGTTATGGTGTGGGGGCAGACAGAGTGAGAGAAAGAAGGGAAGAGAGGGAGAGAGAGAGAGAAAGAGAGAGGGAGAGCAAGAGAAATCTTTCATTTATTGAATTGCTTCCTGAATTTCTGCAACTGGAAGCCAGGGGCCTGGAACTCTGCTAGGGTCTGTGCAGTGGGTGTGGATGACACGAGGGTGTGATGAGAACAGCTCCCCTGTGTGGCAAGGCCTGGGGGAGCTTCCAGCTGTTAGGCAAGGCCCAGTGGAAGTCTCTCTGACCACCTTGAAGCTGTTTGATCCCCTGGTTGCATGGACACTCAAGCACCCCACTAAGAATTCTGTATTCTATTGAGGCATTGTTGTTTGCCCCTGTGAGATAGTTTTTGCAGATTTTTGCCACTGATGTGAGCTTGAGAGTTAATGTTATTGATAATGTCTTTGTGAGTGGGCCTTTAACTGCGCACAGGAGTACAATCAAACCCATGCCATTTCTGTTCACCTTATTGTGTGCCTACCTATTGCCCTGAAATCAGGCTCAGACATATAGTATGCCTCCTGGGAAATGGCTTAATAAGAATTTTACAAACTGGGCCTGGTGGTGTGGCCTAGCAGCTAAAGTCCTCACCTTGAACACACTAGGATCCCATATGGGCACCGGTTCTAATCCCGGTAGCTCCACTTCCCATCTAGCTCCCTGCTTGTGGCCTGGGAAAGCAGTCGAGGATGGCCCAAAGCCTTGGGACCCTACAACCGTGTGGGAGACCCGGAATAAGTTCCTGGCTCCTGGCTTCGGATCAACATAGCATCGGCCGTTGCACTCACTTGGGGAGTGAATCATCAGAGGGAACATCTTCCTCTCTGTCTCTCCTCTCTGTATATCTGACTTTCCAATAAATAAATAAATAATATTTAAAAAAAAAGAATTTTACAAACTAATGGAAGTGATGGGAGTATGAGTGGAAACTGCTATGGCAAAAATATAGTTACTGTGACCTTAAAGGTTAACCTGTCCTTGCAACTCTTTAGAGCATAGAAAATGTAGCTGTTTTAGCCGCTTTCATAATTTTTTAACTAGAGGAAATATAGGACGATTCTATTAACATCATAGAGATATACTTTTGATTATTGTTTGATTGCTTATGACGTTATAGAGCCTGCACTTGTAGGGGAGTTTAATGTTTGAAACTTTTTGTCTTAGATCCTTATGCTTTTTTCTCTTTTGATGTATTTCTCCCATTAAGTGATAGGTAAGTTGTGAAAATAAAATGTAGTAGGAATCTTTTATGATTAGTAGGTAACCATCTGTGCCTTGGCCTTGGAGTTCTGGAGAACGGCTACTTCTGAAGAATGAATAATGGCTTGCTTTAAAGAAACTGATTATAGTAACTTACGGAATTATCTTTAAGAGTACCTGTTTGACCATGAAGTAAAAATTAATTGAACATCTGTGCATGCTTAGTTCTAAAGTTAAAGATAAAAAAATCAAATGTTTGTGCAGAGGCTTGTGATATGTCTAAGTAAACAAAAAGAACAGTTTCTTCTTGGGGAAAAAAAAAGCAGCAAGAAAGCACCAAGTGACAGTGTGTGTGTCTTTCTTTATCGCCGACTCCACGCACCCTTCTCTAACTCTGAACTCAACTGGAGCTGGACTCCGGCAGAACTCCATCTGGGTCTCCCACACGGCTGGTAGGGGCATGAGTTCTTGGGTCATACCCACTGCTCTTCCAGGGCACATTAGCAGGAAGATGAATTGGAAGTGGAACAGTTGGGATGCACCCAGCGCACATTATTGGATGCCAGTGTCACAGATAGTGGGTTAATTCACTGTGGCCTAATGCAGGCCCTTCCTTTACACTCAATCCAATACTATTTATCTGACTTGTTACTCGAAATGTTCCAGCTTGAGGCACTGGGAACTCTTTCCTTTGGCTTCTGTGTCCCTCTGCTAGTCTCTACTCCCTGCTGTAAGACGATGTTCCAGGCGTATTTTACACATTCCCTGTTTCAGTTTTAGAACCAGCCATTTTTTCCAAAGAATCTAGTTATTTGATTGGAACGATCTGAAATATGGATCCTAAATCTTCCTTGCTAGTAGAAAGTTACTGAATTTAAACTTTTTAAGCTAATAAAAAAATACACAAGAGTAAATTAACCAGATACTTTAATGAATATACCTATATGTGACCACATGTATCTATATTAAGCCAAACAAGAGTTCACATTTGGATCCAGTATTGTGGTGTAATGTGTTAAACTGCTGCCATCCCATATGGGCACCTGTTGATGATCATGTCCCAGCTGCTCCACTCCTGATTGAGAAGCTCCCTGCAGAATATGGCCTAAATACTTGGGCCTCTATATCCATGTGGGCAAGCTGGATGTAGTTCCTAGCTCCTGGCTTCAGCCTGTCCCAGTCCTGGCTGTTGTGGCCAATTAGGAATGAACAAGCAGATGGAAGATCTCTCTTTCCTCTTCTCTCTGTAAGTGTTCCTTTGAAGAGTTCAGAGTGGCATGTCCAACCCCCATCTACCATAGATCATTCTAGCCACCTCCATTTTCTTACCTTTAAACTCACACTTAACAGTAAAAAACTTGACTACCATCATTTTTCACCAGTTAATTACAATATTCAATTCTGATATGTACACAGCAGTATCAGAATTATTGCATTTAGTGCTTTTAAAAATACTTATTTCTTACTTGAAAATCAAAGTTACATGAAGAGAGAGAGAGGCAGAGAGAGATCTTTCATCTGCTGGTTCACTTCTCAAATGGCTGTAGTGGACAAAGCTGCGGTTGTTGGAAGCTGAACGCCAGGAGCTTCTTCCAGGTCTCTCATGAAGGTGTGGAGACTCAAGAATTTGAGCTCTCCTCTGCTAATTTGCTGGACCATAAGCAGAGAGCTGAACTGGAAGTGAAGCAGGCAGGGCACAAATTGGCACCCACATGGGATGCTAGTTTTATGGGCAGTGATTTAACCTACTTTGGCACTGAACTGGTCTCTTGTAGACTACTCATTTTCTTTTTCAAGATTTATTTATTTTATTGGAAAGGCAGATCAGATTAACAAAGAAGAGAGACATAAAGATCTTCTATCTGCTGGTTTACTTCCCAAACGGCCACCATGGCCTGAGCTGAGCCAATCCAAAGTCAGCAGCCAGGAGCTTCTTCCAGGTCTCCCACATGGGTACAGGGTCTCAAAGGCTTTGGGTCATCCTCTACTACATTTCCAGGGCACAAGCAGGGAGCTGGAAAAGAGTAGAAAAATTGAAGAGGTTCAGCATTCTGCAGGCGCTAAGGTGTTTTTTTTTGTCTGTTTTTTTCTTCACTGCTGTGTGACGGTTAGTGAAGGGCCTGGAGCAAACCCCTTCCCACCCAGTCCTGGTTTCTACACATTGCCTCCATTGGCAGGACCTCTCTCTTTACCACCCACCCACCTCGAGAGCCTCCAGCTCCCCCGGACAATTATTCTATGGTCTCCTCCCCTGGCAGGTCCAGTCTTCTGCTTGTCCACATTCAGATGGATTCACCTTTGAACATGATGGGCCTATTGCTAAGAATCTTCCGAACAAGCTCAGAGCCATCATCAGCACCACTGTTAATGTGCAACTGCACCCGTTTCCTATAATTTTGAAAGGATTCTTCTGGTTCCAATTTGTACCGCTCAGGAGGCAGGTTGCCAGAGAGCAGTTGGTGCTTGTCAGGGGGTCCACAGTTCTTTGGAACGCAATACCATCCTGCTCACTAGCTCACAAACAGGGCTGGGTTCCCGGTGGGGAGGAAGGCCTATTAGTTGCTCTCATATTTTTGAAGTATGAAATATATACTTCAGGTGTTTGTGATGGAATCTGAGATTCAGGATTGGACTCTGTGTGTTTTGTGACTGCTTCAATTGTCACTAAATTACAAGTCACCTCTTTATGCTCCCTGTCTGTCTCTTTCTCCATGTGCTTAGCTTCTTTGAGTTGGATTTACAGGAGTTCCATCTTTTCTTTGTTTTCTAAATCCTGGTTTTCAAAAACCTTCATACGTCTCTCCTACTCATCAGTAGCTTTTCCTGCTTCTTTCAGCTTTCGCGGTGACATAGAAGGCTGCTGTGGAAGCTGGCAGGAGTCATGCCACCTGCTCCATGGACATGAGCTGCTTCTCCTCAGGTTGCTCTGGCTTTGCTCAGTGGTCCAGAAGTGGACCAGAAGTCACTCTGCTGCTTTTCACTTTGTAGGCAGAAGACATTTCTTTTGCAGGTGAAATTCAGTTTCATTTGGAGCATTAAAATCTCATTGTAATAAGAGTTATGTGTTCACTTTGTTTCTAGAGATCCTGCTTAGGGCCAGGAATATTGGACTGGACCACAGCCCTCGCAGAAAGTTTCCCAACAGGCTCCAAAAGTTTCCAGATGGTATAAAGGAGCTATGCGTAGGTTTTGATGGGTACAAAAAGTTTCAAATCAGAATAGTTTTTAAATCTCTTTTGTCGCATATAACTACATGTAACTGAATGCAGTCATGCTGCTCCTTCAATATTTTCGTTAGGGATTTCTTTTGCCAGACATCCTAACCCACCACTCTTTAACCTTTGATTTAACTGTTGTGCACAGACTTAAATTAGCCAACTTAAGAGAAGGAAGATCTCCATTCTATACTTTGTTCTTCATTTCCTTATGCTGTCTCATCAGAATGGCCTTTACCAAACCCATTTACACCAGTATATTGCTCACAAACATGTAAGTGGTCTGTAAGAAGTTAGGAACTTGTCCTACAGTCCCTCTCTTCTGAGCTTTCCCCCCAAACTCTTCATGTTCTGTTCATGGCAGTTCAGGCCTTCCCCAGCCTGGTCCTCCCAGTTTTTCCAGCCTTTACCCATTTCCAAGGTGGTCTGCATTTTTTTCAATGAATAGTACCAATCCTCAGCATCAATTTTTTCCCCTTGAGTCTCCTTTTTTGTTTTCTGCAATTTTTTTTTTCTAAATTTGTTTCTATAAATTTAATCATACCAAAGAATGGTAAAATTTTAAAGCACAAAGATTTACTTCTTACAGTTCTAGAGGCACTCCAAGATCAAGGGGCTGTGTCTGTTAAGGGACATATTCCTGCAGCATCTCTTGGGGGAAAGAGGAAGAACAAAAGAGCACTTGCAGTTGAGCTTACAGCCTCAAGTGTTTTTATAATTGGCATTAACTCATGTGTCAGGGTGGAGCCCTCAAAAGCTAAACACCTTCCACTAGGCTCCACATAATTATGTTTCCAACGGATTATGTCTCCAACACATGAACTTTGGGGGGACATGTTCAAACCATAGTAAGAGGCTTAGGTTCTGGCCAGTTTTTCCCATTTGAAAAATGCTTGGGAATTGAGTAATTGACTGATTTTAGGGGTACAGAATGGGTAACTTCTATGGCTCCATTGTTGTTGCACATTTGTATAGCTCATAAGTGCAAATAAGCATATTGCTGTCTCAGGTGGAGTATGTACAAGGTGGTAACAGGCACCACAACCACGACTTAGATTTATCAACCACCAGTAATTTTCCTATATGTGACTAGCGCCCCCTAGTGAATAAGGGATTTAAGCTGGCTTCCACCTTAAGGAAGACAGGGAATCTGCTGTTTAAGTGCTGGGATAGTGTTCAATAGAAAAGATGCTGAGGTTTTCTGTGTATGCAGGTGAATGAGAGAATCCATTTGTTCTTTAAAAACATACAGGATTCCACAATATGAAAGTAGTATTCAATTTTCTAGGTCAAGAGTTAATCTGAACTTTGCTAGATCATCAAAGCAAGTGAGTTGATTTTTAATATAAAATATTTTTAATGTTAAAATACGATATGGTATTTTAATTTTGTTTTTACAGCTACTAGAATCATTCTCATACACACAACATGGGTTGAAGCTTGAGTATTATGCTAGAAAACTTTAATGTAGTATATATATTTGAATTGGTTAGTTGAATTATACAATGTCAGCTGCTTTATATTCTTTCCCTAAAACTCCTGCCACCTGCAAAATCCTTGTTATACTTTGAGAAATATGCGTTGTATTTTTTCATCATAAATATTGATTAATTACTACTTCTAGAACTGAGTTAGGTCCTCATCAAGCAACCGAGAACAATTCCTAGTCTCATGGATGCTTCCCATACACAACAGAAACAATGAATACGCAACCAGTTCAACTGGAAAATAAATGACTCAAGTAAAAAATATGATTCTATTGACATTCCCTCAACAGTATGCAAGGGCAGGGTCAATCACACACTCTTTCCCCCCCAGTGGTATCCTAAATCAAGAAATGGAGAAAACATTAGAAAAGTGGCACATTTATTAAGTAAAAGTTACACAGAATGGTTCTTGTATTATTCACAGAGCTCTTGCTTTGTCAGAATATTGAGTTATGAATGCATGTTGTGTTTTAATGCGGCTCCTCAGGGCCAGATTCTCATTTCTTCTCCTGCCTTTTAATCTGGTTTCTTAAAACAAACAAACCAACCACCTGATTGGTGCACTGCACTTCTCTCTCAATTAGATTTCCCTGGTTTTCCTTTTAGAGTCTCCTTCAGGTCAAAGGCAGTTCTCTCCGATTCTCCCTCTTTCCTAAATGTTCATTGGTTTAAAGTAGCATAATTATCTTGCTTTGGTCATTCCCTCTATAGCAAACCATTCTATAGAAAAATCAGAGCCTATGGAATTTTATCATAAAATAATAATAATAAAGATCATGCTTTCTCTTCTGGAAAAAAAAGTGCATTCATTCGACTTGTGTGTGACGGATAATGGTTACTCTTCATTGCTGTTTCGTGAAGACAAGTATTTCTTCTTCAGGTATTTAGCGGTCATGTTGCTGGTCAGGGTGGCAAGCTTACGTGGTGGGCATGCTGGAAACAAGTGAAATCGATGTGAGCGACAGGTAAGGACCAAAGCACCTATGCCATCCTCGCCCACAAAACCCCTCATTCTGTCCAGTCCTGCTTCCCAGGACGTCTCCAGGGCGGATGCGAGGTCACCCGCGGGAAGGCGATGCGCGCCTCCTCCGCAGGGGCCTGAGGCCCGGCAGCCAAGCAGGGAGGTGGCAGCCTGGGGGTGGGGGAGCCGGGCAGGTGTCTCGCCGGGGCGCCGACGCGGGAGGGCCCGCAGGGCGGGGCGGAGAGCGCGGTCCCCATCGCAGCATCCCTGCGCAACAGACTCGGTGCGTGGGCGGGAGGACGGCCGCGCCGGCCCCTCCACCCCCGCGCGCCGCCACGTGACGCGGGCGGAGGGGATTGGAGCGGCGGAGGGCGCGAGCAGGCAGACTGGTGCGGCGCGGGGCGCTCGCGGCGGGACCTCCTCCTCGTCCTCCATCTCCTCCCTCCTGCTTCTCCTGGGAGCCTGGGCACCACCTTGTGCAGGGCCGCGCCGGTCGACGTCGCTGCGGCTGCATCCTGCCTCCGCGCCGCGGCCGGGAAGAGGGGGAGAAGACGCAGCTGGGCCGCTCTTGTGAAGAGGGGTCCCCCCGGCTGCTTCTCGCCCGCCCTGGGCTGTCCCCCACCCCCCGAGGTCAAACCCTCCCGTGGGGTCCCCGCTTTTCTCCTGCCACCCCCTTTCCCCCGCCTGCACCCGCTCCTCGCCGCGATGGGGCTGCTGGACTCGGAGCCGGGCAGTGTCCTGAACGTGGTGTCCACGGCGCTCAACGACACCATGGAGTTCTACCGCTGGACCTGGTCCATCGCAGGTAAAGGCGCTGGCCTCCCATCTTCGCCTGGGCCCGGAGGCCTTTTCCCTCGATGTCTGCCCGCGCGGGGAGGCAGCGGGCTGGAGCCCGGGGATTTCGGCCCTCCGGCTGGCTGTTGGGGTGCTGCGGGCACTGCGGCCGAGCACTGGTTAATCTGATCCGAACGTTAAGGCCTCCCTCTCCTCCCCCTAACGCTCACGAGATTTGCTCGGAGCTGCCACCAGGGCCGCTCAGCCCCTCGGATGCGGGGAGCTGGCGGTTAGGATGGAGCCGGTGCAGCCTAGCGTTTCATCGCGGCAGCCGTGCGCCCCGCCCTGTGCTCCCACATCACCGGAGCGCGTCTCAGTTGCACCTGATGCGCAGGCTTCGTTTTAACGTTTAGTAATCGCCCGTTTGGGTGGTGGAAGAGCTGAGGCCGGGCCGGAGGAGAGCTCCAGCGGGAGCGTCTCTTTGATGCTTCTGCCTCCTGGTTGGTTGCTGTCCGACACACCCGCTAACACTGTCTTCTGCCTAGCTCGTCCATACGTAACATAAATTGGATTGAAATGTTGGATTACATTCCGTGCCTTCTGGAACCTTGAAGAATGGGGCTTTTCCGGCGGCGAAAAGTGATTGTAGTGATTGCCTGTCATGTCTTTGCGCACTGCAGTTCAGTCAGCGGGAGGGGCAGGCCCAAACGCCGGGAAACAGGGCTTTGGGAAAAGGGGGCGGGGTCTCTACAGCAGCACCCAGAGGTTGCCCCAGAAACCTGCCTACAAGGGTAATCGGTGGCCGTAAATCAGCCAACTTTTTCTTTAGCTGTTGCCGCTTATTTGGCAGGCCTGGCATATGGCTGGTTTGTATGGTTATCCCAAAGAGAGCCATTGTAATGTAATATCATTACAGCTTTTCCCATCATTAGAAGCTTTTTGAAATCTAAAATGAGTAGGTTTAAACGATTTTTAGAAATAAGCTTATGACTTACTTTTTCTCAAGTATTTATTTTTATTATTTTGCGTTAGCAAATGACATCTCAGTAGTGGAGGAAATTGGCGTTCTGTGTAATGGTCCTGCCTTCTCTCTAGAAGTGGAAATAAATTTCTGTTTTTTTTTTGTTGTTGTTGTTTGAATAAATGACACAATGACTACAGCCCAAATACACTTGCAGTATATGTTGTGGAGAACGTATCTGCTGGAATTGCTTTTGCGTCAAGTGAAAGGGCTCTTGGATGCTGCATTGACTTCTTTAGAAGGGTGGTCAAGCTTGATTGTGAAATGAGCTCATAATTGAGCCACTGCCTCTGGAAATGCTTAACAAGCAGGTGGTTTTTAATGAAGCGTTTCTTCTGTGGGTCGGCCTTCCCTCTACCATCATACTGACACACTATACCTGCAATATCTGGGAAGATGTATCCATCCCTTTATCTCTGTGATTTGGGTTCTTTAAATATTGCATCAGGGATCTCATTACGCAACTGTAGCCAGCTGAACATTAGACAAGCTTTTTGGCAGGTTATCATGCTCTGCACGTTTTGGAGTTTGACGTCATCCAGGTCCTCCCAGCTAATAGCTGGGCTTACACCCAGGGGTTCTCACTCCATGTGTCTTTCCCTTCGTATCCCCAAGCTTTCCCATTTCTTGAGTCAGAAAGATAAACTGAAGCAAAGGTGGAATTGGTGTATACCTTGTTGTGATGCTTGATCCCCTCATGATGTGAGCGCTCAAAATGCCATCAGTGAGGCAGAAAATGTTGTGTAGCCATCACACGAGCAAGATTGTCACCAGGTGTCAGTGGTCCTATGAAAGAGCGCCAGATGGTGGGGAGTCCGCGTAGCAGGAGAGCACAGGTGACCTCTCACTAGCAGGCCAGAGGGAAGGCACTCTCCCCAGCGGACTATCCACTTACGAAACCTGAGACTGCTTCCTCGCCTTCTGCAATGAGCTCCCTGTGTGGGCAGAGGTGTTTCTTAACTAGCACGGAGGCTCGATGGCCATGGCCTACTCTGCCCAGCTGCTGTGCAAGGACTGGTTTCCAGGAGCAGGCAGAACAGCTCTGGCCTCAGTGCAGCCGTTTCCCCTGCTGTCCCTCTGTTCTCTTACTCACGCTGCTCCCACTGCCAAGGACATCGCATCTCAGCAAAATTTTTTTTTGAAAACCTGGATGCAGGGGCTTCAAAGTAGAAAGTAGCTTTGTAGGTGAGATTGAGAGGTTGGTGAGTCACTTATGGAAGAGGGAGAAATCAAGTGGGCAGGAGAGAAAGGCAGTCTTGAGAAATAGGGCTGAGTGTGGTGTAAGGATGATTATTTAGGAAGCTCAACAATGAGTAGGGGTCTTTGCCCTGGAGTGCTTGCACTCTCAGGATCGTACGTGTGTGCTATTTTCTTTTCTGTGAATTCATTACGTGTTTCCTTTCTTGGGAGTTGCTACCGAAAAATAAATATACTATGTGCTTTGCGCTGTCATGACGGAAATAGTTCTTGGTTTCTGTGTATATTGGTTGGTCTGAGAGATTTTTCACCCTAGAGCAACCAGTTTCTGGGGAAATGTCATTTTGTGCTATTACATTAAGCGGCACTGCCTGATAAAACACATCCAAAGCTATGTATGAAAACGGGACTTTTCGTCATACATGTAGCAGATACAGAGTGTAGTCCGTAGTGTGTTAACATCAAAACAATTACTTCTGTTATATCATTGACACTTTAGCCATTGGAATTGAAATCTTAAAAGAACTGGGAAGTGAAGATCCATGCCAGTGTACAGCTCTACTGCCACATAAAAGGAGGACTCCCAATGAAACTGTTAAATATACCTTGACAATAGGATACTGTATTTTCCATCATTGTCTGTACCTACAATGCTGTGATACACATAAAAAACAGAATATTGGACTTGTGATTGTTGCTCAAGGACTATGCTATTGTAATAATATGAGGGAATCAGTGTGGCATGGAGGAAGAGGGTTGGAGGGAAAAATCCCTGTGCTTATGGAATTGCATCATGAAAAAAAAAAGATATTTTGCATGTGGAAGTCGGTATTGGTTTATATCAGAAGGAAGTGTAGAAGGGTATGAGACTTTATACTAGCTGTTGACATAGAAGAAGTACGTGTTGCAGTGTCATTATGCACATTAAAATTATCTTTTGTTTGTTTGAGAGGCAGCCTCAGTTCACTCCCCAAACACCTACCATTGCTGGGACTGTGCTGGGACTCAGGCAAAGTCTTTCATATAGGTGAGAGGAACCTACTTACTTGAGTCGTTATCTGCTGGCTCGCTGAGTCTACATTACCAAGGAGCTGGTGTCAGGAGTCAAAATCTGGAGGGCCATGGCAAGCACAGAGTGGGGGTCAAATGCAGATATTTTATTATGAGATGCAAGTATCTCAACTGGAGGCATAATTATTATTCTACCTCTATAAATTTTCAAAACTGATATGTCTAAATATATCCTAGTATCCGAATGCCTAAACCAACATTAGCCAACGAATTCATTTATTACTTTGAAATAAATATCTTTAATAGCTTTCTGTGTGCCTAGCATGTTATATGGAAACATCATGGAGAGTTGATAGGATGCCCACAGGAAAGGCAGGTGTCTCTGGAGCTACCTTACTTCTTTTTGACTTCATGATGGTTGTGTCTAGCCCTTTGTTTATGGGTTATGTGCTGGTGGGCCGGAAAGGGAAGAGGGTTGGCATTGCTCCACTCTTCATTGATAAATTCCCTCCACTCACCTTTTGGTGGAAAAGTTTGTTTCTCATTGATAGATGAAAATTGAGTATGAAAGGTCAGCCTATCCCGTTCTTGAAATCATTTTGGAGGGGGTCAGAGAAAAGATGGGACTACTCTAAAGTAGGAAGAAGGGATCTTTGTAGGATGGTGGCGAAATTTGGAAGCTAGGCTTATCTCATGTAATCATTCTTCACCATTTGCAAGCACAGATGGGGGCTCTGGAGAGAGAATGACACTTGGTCCCTACAGCTGACCAAGTCTAGGAGGCCACTACCTTTTCCTCAGTGTCTGGGTCTCAAGGCCAGGGCTTGAGACCTGGCCAGGGTGGGAGATTTGGGGTGGGGATACCTTATTCAGTTAAAATAAACAGGGGTGAAACAGTTTTGTCCTTGGGGTTGCTGGTCCTGGAGTGACAGGTGTATTGAAAGTTGTGTAGTAGGTTTGTGTTAATTTTATTGTTTGTCACAGTTAATGTACAGTATCATTGCCTGAAGTAGCTGTCACCTTAGCGTGGAAACCCAATGACCACTTATAATGTTTCTTTAAGAAAAGTCATTCCAGGCCCAGCACCGTAGCCTAGCAGCTGAAGTCTTCACTTTGCACACACTGGGATCTCTTGTGGGCACCAGTTCTAATCCTGGCAGCCCCACTTCCCATCCAGCTCCCTGCTCGTGGCCTGGGAAAGCGGTGAAGGACGGCCCAAAGCCTTAGGACCCTGCATCCGCGTGGGAGACCTGGAAGAGGCTCCAGACTCCTGGCTTTAGATTGGTTCAGCCCTGGTTGTTGCGGCCACTTGGGGGGTAAATCAGTGGATGGAAGATCTTTCTCTGTCTCTCCTCCCCATTTATCAGACTTTACAATGAAATTCAATCTTAAAAAAAAAAGTCATTCTATGTTGTAGGAAGCTAATTAAAAACACATTTGTGAAGCACTACCCACTCCTTACACTGAATTTGTCATGGCCACTGTATGCAGTGGGTCCTAATTATTCTTTTCTCACTGCTTGGCTAAGCCTTTGGAAGGCCCATGGCATTTTACAGCTTTGTTTTGGTTTGGTTTATTTACTTTTTGTTGTGTTTTCCTTCGCTACCGTCTGAATTTTGGCAGCAGCCTCTTAGACTTCTGTGGCCTATGCCGTTGTCCATTCCCCAGCAGCCTTGCCTAGCAAAGCATCCATCCTACTGCAGGTGGAATTCTAGGAGGGTGAACAATGCAGACCCCAAAACTGACATCACAACACAGTTTCACAGTTAGATTCTTTGATGTAGGAGCACCAAGTTTTAAGA